ACTCTTGAGCTTTTGTTTTTAGCGTTATCTCTACGTCGATCGCGTTGCTGTCTTTTTCCTTTTTAAGACTACCCTGACCTTCGACTCTTTTTTGGAGGTCCTCTAGGCTTACTGATAGCGCTACAGTGCTCCGCTTCTAGTCTGCTAGGCTGGTCCTTCTCCTCTTAAACTTTTCTATTTCTAATACCGATATCCGATATTGGCTCGAAGCTATGGCGCGCCAGAGCTCTAGGTGGAGCGTTGCCCTTCTGATATTCTTATAATCGATACTTTTCCTGGCGATGCCGTCCTGGCCTAGTGCCTTTAGGTTATCGTAGCGATGTTCTCTGATCGACGCCGCTTCTTGGAAAACTCTTTCTAGTGCGCATACTGATATAATAAGGTCTTGGCGTAGCTGGCTGGTGTTAATATACTTTGTGATCTCGTCCCTAACGCCCTTGATACCTTTTAGGATATTAATAAACTGCTTAGCCTTTTTTGCGACGGCTTTCTGGGTTACTGTCGGGCTATCCTAAAGTAGAGTCTCTGGTAGCGTAACGATTGCCCGAAACCTGTTAGCCTAGCTTAGATCTGCTATCTTATCTGTAGGGTTCTGATTGATAAGGTAGAGTAGTACCGAAGAAGCCTGGTAAGATTTTTGTAAAATCTTCTGTGTCTTGTTATGGAAGGCATTGCTCTTATACTGGATTGCGGTAACGATGTCCTGGATGTGAATATTAACTGCGAAGGTCTGTCCTACGTCTGTGGACTTTAGATTACTACTACTGATGAGTATCTCGTGCCCCGTCTTCTTAGCTAGTGATGCTAGATTATTTGACCTTAGGAGGGCCTTTCTTAAATACTCTAGGGAAAAGCTGCTGCTCTTATTGCTCCCGGATTGTTGTAGGATAGAGGAAAGATTGCGAGCCCCTATCTATAGGTTATCGTGATAGGTCGATAACGATCCTAGAACTAGATCGTATTCCTTTTTGTCGAACATTTGTCCGTTACCTGCGAGCCATTGTGGTAATAGACTGTTTAGTGGGCTTAGTGAGAGGTAATTGCCCAGATGTGTGATGCTGGACCGTGCTGTTGCGGTAGCTGTCGTAGTCGCGAGAAATACTGCCGATAGTCCTATCACTGCGGCGGCGATATAGAGCTAAGTGTACGGCGGTATTACCCTGGATAGCAGACGTAAGAGTTTGAGAGGCATCTCTAGAATTCTGCGTATCTGGGACTAATTCCGCAATACCCAAGCTAAGAAAGTATCAAAATTGCTGCCCGTCGCTTGACTTTTATCTTTGATATCTGTCGGCCTGGATGTCCTCCGTGTGTTTTTGTATGAGGCCTGCGATCTCTGGAAACTGGGATTATAGTTCGAAAATATAGGCCTGAAGGAGTTTTCCGACTTTTCGTTCTGCCGTCTTGCTCTTTGTGTAGCTCTTTTGAGCTAATCCTCGCCCTGTGGTATGGCGACTGCTTTGCTTGCTGGGGGTCTCTGCGTTCTTATGGCTAAGCCGGTACTTGGGTAATGTGCGATGGAGGGTAGAGGATGTATCGGAATTTATGCTACTGGTTATGCCCTCTGGGCTCTCTGTATATAGCTCGAGTGAGAGTCTTAGCCTGTCTTAATCTCGGTCGAAGGTCGGGTCTACGATGACGCTTGGGTCTTGTCTTATCAATCGGTTTTAATAGCGGGATATTACGAAATACGATTGATTGTCGCCCAGCTGTATAAAGGTCGTTCGACGGTTTTATGGAATGATAATGCTTCTCTATGTGCCTCGGTATAGCGGCGGGCTGTTCCTATGGTTGGGCCTCGCTGTCGCATAGACTTGTAGCTTTATGGACTAGCTATGGCTTCTTTTAGGATGTTCGGGATAAAGGCCTTTTTTTTTAGAATTATCGTATCTGATTATGATCCGAGGTCTGGCCTATGTGATATGGCGAGACGTACGAAGATGACGTCCTTAGTTGTTATCCTAGCTACTGGATTCGTAAATAACTCTACCCGTAAAACGCTAACTATATTTAAATACTGCCTGGCCGAAAGACTTTTTGAACGATTAACGTCGCCCGTTCCTTGTTACTCCGCAGATAGGTTAACTTCTTAGCGTATTATTATGCTACCTTCTCGTTACTACAAAGTTACTAACTTCGTTGTAGCTGTTCTTATTTTCTTGGCCGGAATAACTTTTATATATACTTATTTAAAGATTTTTAGTAATTACGCGGCTATGAAAACCGACCTAAAGTTTAGGACCGACGCTGACCGAAGAATGTGCTACGCTTTGTGGTACTTGCGCGATGTGCTAGATGACCCTGTTAAGGTTGAAGCCCTATATGGTTTCTTTGGCTATTCTTATAGGCTTCTATCGGAGTGGCTAGGTTCGTGTAAGACGGGGAAATGTAAAGCCCTACCCGAGGCCTTTGCGGAAGAAGTCCTCCGGGCTGCTAGTAGGAAGCGCTCTAGTGTTGTAGAGGGGATCTGATTAAAAGATGCCGGAGCGATTAAGATTTGGGAAGCGACCTGGGCCGTTTTGGAAATGGTTCTGGATGTTGATAGTTGGTGCGCGTTTTTGACTAAGATCCGGTCGGGATACTCCTTTATAAGGAAGGATTATGACGATGCGTGTCTTACTATCTGGGAGGAGAGGTTATGGGTATAGGGAGGTTGGTTATAGTGGTCGGTTGAGTATATGTGTTATTTCGAACTATTTTTTTTGTTAAAGAGTAATAATCTTGGCTTGTTAGCGCGTTTTTGCGGGATTGTATAGGGGATGGCTGGCGTGTAAGCTCGATAGGAGCACTTCTTCTAATGCCCGAAATAGTCTAGTCTTATGGCTTGCTAAGTCTCCTGGAAGCTTAGGATTAATTACGATGTTGTTGCGCGCTAAGTCTATCTGCTTTTCTTCGTATCGAATGTTTTTTATACCTGACTGATCCGCGCTCGGATGCTCGTGGGTAGATAGGTGATTACGGTCGGTTGGTGCCTGGGTCTTGGACTTAAACGGGCCCTTTTGTGCGCTGATCTTAGTTATGTGCGGCGGGCTTTGTGAGGTATGCCTTAGTTTAGTATACGTTTAGTTTTAATAACGAGACTGCCTATGTAACAAATGAATGATGAATGGCGCGGGCTTAGCGCTATTAGGGGCTAGATAACGAGACTACGCGCAAGGCTATAGTTAGACCTACGCTTAATGTCGAGACTTAGCCCGGGACGATGCCCGCTCTTGTAATAACGTATGAGATGTTGGATTTAAATATTAGCTTTACTGCGTCCTTAGCTGATACGAAGTTTTACCGTAGCTATGCCTCGGCTCCGGTGCTATATGAGTGTGTTTCCTATCCTGTCTAGGTAAGCTTCTGGTAAATAGCCTCGAGCGGCGAAAAAAAATACTACGCGGAAGAAGCTATTTTTGACCTCGCTAGCCTGGGTGTGTTCTATCCCTAGTATTTCTAGTATTACGGTGAGAGTATCCCGGTAATCGACTTAAGCGCTAAGTATGCTAAAGCTTACTCTAGAGGGGCGCAAAGAATGCGCCCGTTAGCTGTGGCGCTATTATTATCGGCTGAAAGTAAAAGAGCCGAACTCGTAGCATATAGTAGCTGTTGACGAAACTGACCCGAATTACGACTATCTTAAATTTCTGGGATGGGAAGAGGGAGAGGCTGAAGAATTAGATCTAGTAACTGTAGCATGGCTAGAATCCTGGAATTAGAGGGGTAAGCTTAGTACGTGGCTTAAGGGTATACTCTAGTATTGGAGCGAGGAGTGGCGAAAGGAGCCGCGTGATGATGCCGATAGCCCTTAAGAGACCGATGAAGCTAAGGTGGCCGACTAGAGTAAGCCTGCCCGCGAGCAAACCTTGCGCCCCCTATGGACGGCTATAGTCGAACCGACCGATCTCGATGCTGAGAATTGCGAGGACGACTCTTCTGATGACGATGCCCGTTCGATTACGTATCCTCGCTCCCTAGCCGCTAGGGGCTCTGTAGGCGTAAATACGGACGCGGTACTAAGAGATGAGCCGCTTGTTGCGAATACCTTACACGCTACTGATGGGGCTGGGCCTAATGTTACGCTGCCGTTATATGTGCGTACGGTCTCCGAGGTGTTTAATTCTCTAATCCGGAGGGCGGAGGACGAGGTGGCAAAGAAGCCTTAGGTAAGTAAAGTAGCGGTGCCGTCCCGCTCGATTAGAGACTCCCGATATAATGTGGCGACGTTTTCTCTAGCGGCGGCTGATTAAAACGGTGATAGGCGGGATCGGTCGCCGCTAAAAGCCTAGGAGTCTCGAGTTAGCCTCGTTCCTTAACAACCGCGTGAACTGTACTACTCGGCCGTCTAACGCAATCTTTATAACTTATCGGAAAGCTATACTTAGCCAGACCGCACTGGCAGGGCCCTGATTACCGATACTGACTAGTCCGGCCATCTCTAATAGGAACCGCGGTAGGCTATTTTGCAGACTAAAGAGGAGATTAATAGATGGTGGTTTTGGTATTGCTAGGTCTACCGATCTCGCCGCTATAGACCGAGGTCTTAAGTTAAGCTGTATCGGGCTACTAGCTCTAGGGAACCCTGATAAATATAGGGAGTTGAGCGAGTAGGACCTGCCTTAGGAGGTACGGAATAGGATACGTCGTTGGAGGCATAGCCCGGTTTGTTTCTTTGCCCTTTAGGACCGCATAGTATTAGAACGGAACTAGTGAGTAGAGTATTAATTTTCTATTAAGCTCTTTCTAGGCGAAAGAAACTTAGTGATGCTATCTTTATAATTCTAAGGCTAACTACAAATTCTGTGTAAAGAGACTAAGATGCTATGACAAAATAAGCCCAAATCTTTCCGTCCTATTCCGGCTTCCTATGACGAGGTCCTTTGTGTACCTGTGCACCTATTGAACCCGAATTGCCTTGTCTAGAGCCGTGTACGAGGTCGGATAGTATAAGTGGTATTGATCTCTTTTAGATACCTTTCCGGGAAGGAGACGCGTATCTTGTTCTATCGCCCGGTAAGCTACTCCTCTATAAACTCCGTATTATTATTATTTTCGATATACTCCCCGTCGTCTTTATTGGTATTATCGTCCTCGTCGCTCTTATCCTTGTCGTTATGGCCATCGCTGTGTTCGACCTCGGACTTATCGTCCGGCTTGTTAACTAACATAGCGGTTGAAGACGTAGCCTGCGTAGCGGTTGCCCGTTCCTTGTTGGTCTTTGAGCTGCTGAATGGAGCTGCAGATATGTTGCGGGAGCGACCCGAAGGAGCGGTATTATCTGTAGTCGGATTGGTGTCATTGGCTTCGGTTCCTTCGGTTCCATGGACGTATGTCGATACCGCAGGCGAGCCGTTCTCCTCAGTCGTGGTTGGGACCTGCCCACTAGGGAGATTCGATTGCTTCGGGCTGGATATCTTGAGGATGGTTTCCTATTGAGCGATGAGATCCTGCGAGGCCTGGAGTTCAGTTTGTAAACGGGCCCGCTTTTCCTTCTCCTTGTCCAGATTCTCCTGCGCCATCGACATCATTGACTGGGTGAAGCTTGAAGGGTCGGACGAGGCTCTGCTAGATGCGCGGCCGCTGTGGCGACCTCCTCGTCGAGACATCTTCTTCGTCACTCGTCTAGTTATCGCAGAAGTTGACGGGCGGGATGGGATTGCTTGTTGATTCGGTGGGCAATATCTCAAATAGGATTAGAGGAGAGAGCTTTGGGATCAGGAAAGCGACCAGGCCCGGCAGGACGACTTTTATAGATGATGAAACATTAGCATAACATCCGGCAGCCTAGTCACTGTACTGAGGAGTTCCATCTCGTCAGATCCATGGCGGCCTTGAGGTGAAAGAAAGTCACCGGGTACCATCAACATATACCGTGTACGTCAGTATTACCAAGCGCACTAAGTAGCGGTCTTAGCCCGCGCTGGAGGCAGTCGGGTACTTGAAAGTAGACAATTAGCGGCTCGGGCTACTAAAAAATATCATAGATGCCTTACAGACATCAATCAACTTCCCCTGCTTACCTTACCTGACTTCCTAGAAGCTACTGGGTACTGGCCGTGCGAATACAGTGTATATAGCCCTTACACTGGTCAGCTTCTGTTGTTTCGTCGATGTTCTAGAACCCGCAACTCCGGGAGCCGCTACGGGCTGTTTTGGGTTACGGCAAAATTAAATAGTATAAGGCAATATTGCCACCAAGCATTTGCTGCCAAACTTGAACACTGCATCCGGCGAGTGTGCGCTTCCAGACACGCGGTCCAAAAAGACCAAAGAAAGTAACATTCTTGGACTCGGCGGCAATGCGGGCAGCCTCCCTAACTTCATCGAGCTCGGCAAGAACAATAGGGGCTTCGCGGTCACCACCAGCGTGAAGATGGGCAAGGACCTCGTGGCACTCCTCCCACCGATCCTTCTGGCCTAGCCAACGCGGCGACTCAGGGAAGAAGAGAAGAGCGATTCCGAGGATGAGACCAGGAATGCCCTGAATACCCCAGGCGATGCGGAATGCCTTGGGATCGTTGGGGATACTGACAATACAGCCGTAAGAGATAAGGTACATGATAAGAATGCCCCATTCGATCGACCATTGCTGAATCCCGACGATGCGCCCACGGATGCGGGAGGGAGCCAATTCAGCGAGGTAGACGCAGCACTGGGAACTTGTGATACCAATGGCCAGACCAGAGACAACGCGACCGACAATGAGGTGGGCGACATTCTGAGAGGAGCATTGGAGAACAGCACCGATGATCCAAATGACAGAGGCGAGCTTGAGAGCGCCGCGACGGCCGTATGAATCAGCCAGGAAACCAGCGACTAGAGCACCGACAAGGGAGCCGCCGGACATGGAGGCCGTTATGCCGCCCTGAAGGGTCGAACTCGGATGCCCGAAATATTCTTTATAGGAGTCGGCGCCAATCCACGCACTCATGGAACTGATATCGAAACCGAAAAGCATACCGCCGATGGTGCCAAAGGCGGCGAGCGCTACAAGTCACTCATCAGCATCTGAAAACGTAGTGATATCGCAATGTTGATTGGGGCCGAGAAGATCAGGCAAAGAGCGCGTACCGTAGATGTTGTAAATGTGGAACATGATGGGCTTGAAGTCGTGCCTGTCCAAGGCGTTTCTGGTACACTTGGAAGTCAAATGGCTAATGGATCAAAGGACAAGAGGCTGCGACGCTGCAGTCAAACCAAGCCTGGATCCAGAGAGGCAGGTTTCAATGTCGAAGGTAAGATGAAGAGTTTTATAGATGGTGCACTCTGGTATCAAACAAGATTTCCCATACCACCAATTGACCAACACCGAGAGGCGCGCCTTTGAGAGATTCGAACAAAAGGGGCCCACATGCTCCGACCACCTTGAGTGGCGTCTCATTCAACAGACGGTAACGGGCGGCTGCAGAGGCTCTAAGGTAAAAGCGCCGTAAAGGCATGGCCCAAGATGCGAAAGCCAGGTTAGCCGGCAGACGGCACGCATGTTGAAGCAATCTCAAAGTGACAGCAGGTGGTTGAGTCGCACACATGCTGCTATATCATCGAGTCGTGTTAAGCGCACGTATCAGATGGCGGGAAAGTCAAAGAGTCTAGGGCGGACGACGTCATGTTCGAGTGGGAAGCCAAGGACGTGGTCTTGTTTGTCTGGGACCTCAAGCGCGTGGAGCACTGGAGATGTTAGCGCAGTCGTATCAAATGGTTCAAAACCAGGATGGCATGGGATGATGGGCTAATGTGTGGATGGTTGGAGTTCGGAACAGAGGACAAAAGAGAGATACGGGGATACATGCTCTGGGGCCTTTGGGAGGCGAGCACCGAATCATGGAGGATCGCCGCCGAGAGAGAGACCGTAGGACGTGAGGGGAACCTGGGAAAGAAGGGGAAGTGCAAGGGGGCAACACCTATTGAGGGGAATAGGGAGATTGGGGAAAATTGGGGGAAGGTGCAGCATGACGGCGACTTCCAACTCAGACTCTCTTTCACCCAGCAAGACCCGGCCAGGGGAGCACGGTAGGTAGCTGAGATGGAGAAAAGAGCAGAAGGAGGCCTCAGCTTCGAATGTCATAGCCGATCCAGTAATGTCTCTTCGAGTCGAGACAATTGGAACTCCCAATGGCACCTCATCCTGCCCGATTCCTACGTATTTTCGTGGCCTTTTTCTTTCTCAAGCACGGGAATACATACAAAGTTGATTCTGCCATCCAAATTCATTGCTTGAGACAACGGCCAATCAACGCGTGAAGGAGTTTGTGCCTCGGGCAGTTTTCTGGGGCTCATCAAGATCTGCGCCAAGTCTTTCCAAAGGAAGGATAGCGTCGTCTCCATTTCTCCGGTACCCGCACCTGTTGGGTCTGTTTGTGGCTCTCCGAGAAGGAAAGCCTGGGGCCAGTATGGATGCAATGCTGCGTTACTTTAATCCCACTCTCTTAAGCCTCTCGTTCGCTTCTGATTTTCACCAAGTGGACAAACAACATCCAACATTGTACATAATATCTCTGCTTGCTCCGGCCCATCCCGACTTGGTATACCTTGTACTCTTGGCTTCAACGACATGCACCAGGCACGGAATCCGGCCGAGTTGCTGTGCTGCCTCATGATCACCATTGGCAGGTCTCAGCAATGCCCTGCGAGCCTCAAGAGCAACTTACGTTAGGTACATACCTTAGCGAGGAAACAAGCAGGATGGGAAGCAAAGTTTCCGCATTCGGAGCATTTGATGGAACAGGCACATACGTCTTTGGTCGCGACGCCACGCTCCCGTCGGTCTCCTTACTCGCCGCAGGGCTATCTTACGTGATCCACGTTGGCCCGAGACGCTCGGAGAACGTGGAAGGTAGGAGGCCGGCCCAGGCTTCAGCACCTCCCCTCGGACCTCCCGTCTCCCGTTCCAGGCTCTCCTTCGATTCCTCCCGGCTTCCATGATTACTCAGCATGGCCACGAAATGAGTTGGTACGCAAGGTGCTGAGATAGTTCTGCTGCTCAAGAATGAATCAAAGGTAAGGTAGATGGTGTCAAGAGATGCGAGGAGTCCCTTGAGCAAGAGCGCTGGGGCAGGCACCACGGAGGCGGCCTCGCTGACACCTTCCGCCTTGCTTTGATCCCTCCCGAAGAGAAAACGTGTTGGCAGGAGCATTTCCTTCCATCACTATGGTCATTCCTCAAGGGACAGATGTTGCGATGCATCGCGACGGCTGTTGAACGGAGTCAAACAAATTTCATTTGTTATGTCCTAATACCCACCTACGAACTTCTTGAAGCCTACTGCGTCTCTGTGGACGTTGTTCTTACCTCTATCCCAAATAAGTCATGCTATCGCTCAAGCCAAACCCCACTCTGTAACGTGAACCGTGTCTGATAAATCTCTCTCTCTCATTCTCAGGCAGCTGGGGCAGATGGCCCAGGGCCAGGCGGCCTAGGGGTACTATTGGATTCCGCCGGAGCAGCACCATAATCTCTGTGATACTCCTCCAACCATGCATCAATCTTCGCAATAAGAGCATCGATACCCTGTATCTAACGGTCAAAGCCCCTCATCATGTCATTGAGCGACCCACTCATCTTCATAATCGGCCTGCCCTGTTCTTGACCTGAAAGTTTTCTGAAGTCGTCCTCAATACGAGTCTGTTCAGCGACTGCGGTATGTCGATTCACCATCATGGTGGTCTTGATTCGGCGAATGACCGCGTATTCTAACGGCGTCTTGAAGCTTCCTTCGTCGCCTCTGGCCTTTGTGTTGCCAAGGGCATTTGACAAGATCTCTGCCTCCATTCCCTGGCAGATGTCCGTCAGGCCTTGAAAGCTGAAACGGCCCCTTGGACCGGGATTGGGGGGAGGGGGGTTGCCCACGTGAGAGGGATCGGCTATCTGAGGAATAAAAGGGCCGGGTTGAGTTGGAGGTGCGTTGCCACGACGAGTAGGAAGCGGCGGTAACACGGCAGGAGGATTCAACGCCCGGGCTTCGATGACGGGGCGAGGATTGACAGCGGAAGGGGTCCGGTCCACTGCGTTTATGAGGGGAGGATTCTGGTCCAGAGGAGCAAAAGCTCGGACTGGGGGGATGCCGGGATGATGGAAATGAACCGGAGGCGCATTGACTGAAGAAGCCTGTGCCAATTGATCAAAGACTGGAGAGGCCTCAGATGGCGCGTGGTCGATTGCAGAAGCCTCGGCCGGAGGATTGTGGGGAGAGGAAGACAGGGGAACAACGTGAGGAGAGCTCTCAACCTTAACAGCCGGAGAGAACTCGATCGAAGGGAGTATAATGGGATTCTCCTGTTCCTGCCGGCATGTTAGCACCTCTTCCAAGATGTCTGCGACTCCGAGCTTCGAAAGTTGGGGATGTTCAAACCTCTCTTGACTCAGCCATATTGAAACACGATGTTTTTTTGCGCGACCTGATGATTCAAATTGAGTCTGTGTTTTGCCGTTAGGATAGCTGAAAGAGCTGTTCCAAAGATGTTGGGAGTGGTGGAGGTGGTTTGACGAGATGAGGTTGGCAATCGCATGCAGTAAAGGATGTAAGCAAAACGCTTTTCAACGTGTGGCTTCTTTCCAACTTGAGAACTGTTTTTCAACTACGTTCTTCCCTTTCCAAGCCCAACTGATGGTAACTTGACTCTTGCTTCACTCCTGCCCTGGAATGATAGATAGACCAGTTGTCAGGAACCAGAATGACCAGGAAGGATACTAAGGGAAGGAGCAAGGTGCTTTGAGTTTCAGCGGGAGAAACAACAACCAAGCCAGGCTCAACCATCGACGCCAACAAAAGCTTAATCAATCCCTGCGAGCTTGCCACTGTCTGCATGCAAGTTTTGGCAGCAGCTGCTGCGCATAAGCTAGTCTAGGTCTACAATCATCGTGACGAAGGAAGCTCAGACAACATCATCATTGATTTTTCACATCAAGACTATCTCATCCATGCTCTGGCCATCCTGAACAGCCTCTCCTCTCATAATCCCATGCACGTAACACTCTCCAACTAGTCGATGCCTCCTGCCCTCAACTTTCCTCAGAAGGTATGGAATATGGCACCCATCCAAAATGTGAATTTCGTCCCCCACCTTGCTTGTCTCCGACACTAGCCCCAAGTAACCCTTAGCAGTGAAGCACAGCCTGCGATTCCGCATAGCATGCATCATTGAGGTCCTTACATCCTGAAACATTTTTCCTGCTGTGCGTGTCTTGAGATTAGCTAGCTCTAGCTTCCCCTTGCCTGCCGGCCGACTTTGTCGTGCAGAGTACGTCTGTCCTGGAAGCGATGGGGACAGCCCCGTGGATGCGTCGAGGAGAAGGGATATAATCTCCTCATAGGCTATCGGCGCCTTCGCCATTTCGGTAGCATCTTTTCCGGCGACTAGTGTCTGCCAGAAGGCAGAGAAGACAGTTTCGTTGCCTGGATATTCTTGTAGCTTCGCGGCAAAGGAGCACATGTCTTTCAAGTCTCCATTGGCAGTGATTGGATCTTCGAGACTCAGCTCTGGATTCGTAAATACGGTACTGAGTTTTGCGATGGCGTCAACCGAAACACCATACAGCCGCAGCTCGTCCTTATTTTTGCGTTCCAAAGATGGATGAACTCTGCCGATTTCGATCGTAAGATGACCGCATGCCATGTACGGTGTTGTTGTGGTAGTAGAGTGTCCCAATGAGTGTGTTCGACGGGGGTTTCTCCAGTCTGGTACCCACGATGGCAGATCGATAGACTCATGGTCTACGCAGGTAAGGACCACGCCGAGTCTCAAGCTGCCTTTGTTGTTATCCAGGTGACGTATCGTTATGTCGCGATAGAGATGAGTTGCGGGAAATTCGTCTGCGTAGCTTGGTCTAATCGCAGACCTGTCCTGATCTTGACAGACACCAAGTAGACCATACACCTTGTCCCGATTGTCGTAACACTTGGCTTCTCTGGACTCTATCAATAGGTCGAACAGCGGCATGGCCGTACTGTGGTAGCTTGACTTCATACTGCTGAGGTGCTGTACCGACTCACAAAGATCCCTCTGATGGTCAAGTGCGCGGCTCCCAGAATTGAACTTCTCCCCTAGCCATCTCGAGATGCCACAGGTCCAGAGATGTAGACAGGCCAATGACAAGACGTCCCACGTAGCCATATGATTGCCGCATACGACCCAAGAGTCAAAGGAGAGGATGACTTCCTGAATGATCCAAAGTCGCGTGAACCACGGGCGCGAGAGAAAGTCCCACAGGGCTTCCCAAACCTCCGAACTTTCTGAGGGGAGATTAAGCCCCTCGAATTCGTCCGGCCCAATAGTCTTCTCCGTAAACTGCAAGAGCAACCTAACGTCTTCCAGCAACTTGATGGCGGAAGCAGAATTCGAAGTTGATTCACCCAACCAAATGACGGTGTTCATAGCATTCTGATAGATCCGCGACATCAAGGGTATCTGCTGTGCCTTCTCTTCGTTGTCGTCTTGGTTGATACAGATCTGGTCTATCCACATCACAACTGAGCGATCCTCTTGACGGAAAGCCCTCAAAGCAACCGCGAGAGACTTTGTGATATTCTTGACGTGACCTTCGCACTCGATTGCCTCATCGAACACGTTTGGGCCCCATGTGTAGCTGAGCGCCGTGTACACTATCGGCGTGGCGGATCCATCGACAGCGAGAGCAAACCTTGCCTCGAGTTCGAGTGAGCAGTGACGAAGGCGGCCACGTAATCTGTCATCGCCGGTGCCTGGCAAGATCTCGAGCACGCGAATTTCGAAAGGATCGAGTATGGGACGGTACAGGGACGAAGATCGAGTTTGGCCTGGGGCTGTCTTGGTTGCACCCTTAGTAGATGCCCATGTCCGGACCAGTTCCTTGTCCTCACTATCGAGCTCGGGTTCATCAACTCCGGCAAGACCGAACTTCTTGTCGACATTGAAGTTGATCCAGTATTCAGACCTCAAGGATTGTTTGAAAAACTGCGTATCGTTGGCCGACATCTTGACGGTCCAAACGGGAGTCTCACTCGCGCAAAATCAGGCTGCCAGATTCATGTAGAGATGGGAAATGCAGCAGGTGTCAGCTTCGTGCACGAAATCATCTGGCGGGGATGGGGGGACTGTAAGCTGCAGCCTTTCCTTCGCTGTGAGTGGACAGTTAAGTCTTAGCATCGCTTGCCCCTGCGATCCAACGCCCATGCCACCTCAGGCAGACTTAGTCCAGGATGCCTAACATCACCAGATGACCACGACAATTGACGCAGGCTATGACTAGCACGATCGAAGTTGGGATAGGCATTCCATTTGACTCTAATTTTCTGAAATTTCCCTCGGGCATTTTGGGCGGGGACGGAAGACGTGCATGGTTGTATATCCTCGGCAAGCAACTTACCACTAGAATAGCTGGTTTACTGCACCAAAAGGTTTAACATGGAAGTCACGGAAGCAAGGCCTCAAAAGTCAGCTCAGTGTCAGATATCAAGGGGAAATAGATTCATAACATACACTTGATTTTGACTGGGAAAGCTTGACATCGACCGTCCGAACGCCGAAGGTAGGAATCCGAATCGGAGTTTTTGGGATCGGCGAAAGTCCGACGGCGTGAAGCTATGATATAGACCCGTCCCGTGCAACACGGCAACAGGGCAGGACGGTGGCATTTTGGTTCCCGGGTTCCGGCATTAAGTTTCCTTCAACGATCTACAATCGCATGATTTGGTGTACTTACGAATCTGCGGAAGGCGTTGGACTTGTTGCGAAAAGGCCGACAAGAACTATCATGCGTGCCAAGGAAGGGATAAAGGCAACTTGACCACTCGCATCAGACGAATGTCAGAAGCAACTATTCCAAACAACACAAACTTACCAGCCATAAACAACATGACTGCAGTAAAGAAAATCAGAAAGGTAACTACTTTATGATCTTCGTGTTCTTACAGCCCGATCCGTTGGAGTATTTTCTGACAACAGCATGCATAGATCATCATCATCGGCGGTGGCCCAGCAGGCATACTTGCTGCGCTCCAGCTGAAAAAGGCCAATGGAATCACGCCGGTAGTCTACGAGATCCGCCGCCAGCCAACAACACTCGGCGGAGCAATTGGCATTCCTTCCAACGGTCTACGACTGCTCGATCGCCTTGGACTCTACAATGACGTTGCAGCTCGAGGTGCATTGACGCCGAAGCTCGTCTTATACGCTCTGAAAGGCTGCGTTATGGGTGAGATGGATCTATCATCTTGGAGTGAGCAGCAAACCGGCTTCGGATACTTGCGCGTCCAACGAACCGACTTAATGGACGTCCTGCTAGGCGCCGCCAAGCAAGCAGACATCCAAATACATTACGGCAAAGCCGTGGAGAAAATCGAAGACCAAGGCCACACCGTGACCGCGCGGTTCGTCGACGGGACGGCAGATACGGCCGACTTTCTCCTCGGCTGCGATGGGATCCACTCCGCCGTGCGGAAACTCTACATTGATCCCGGCTCCGTGCCCGAGTACTCCGGCTTTGCAAACATGTTCGCTCTCGTGCGACCGGACGAGGTGTGCCCCAGAGCCACGTCTATCGATACCATGAGCGCGACGCTCACCTCTGACGGACTTTTCGTGATTGCCCCCACGACACCAACCCGCGATCTGCTCTACTGGTTTTTCTCCCGCGAGGTTGCTCTTCCGGCTTTTGGCAATGTCCGTGACGGATGGGAGGAGCGCGGAAAGGAAGCGGCAGACACATTCAAGGCTACCCTTCTCGATCTCTTGGGGAGTCAAAAGTCTGACTGGATGGACATGGTGCACGAGATCATCAACAACACGAACGCTGTCCAGTTTTATCCGATCTACAAGATGCCGCGGGGAAGACCGTGGTCCAGGGGCCCTTGCATGGTTCTCGGTGACGCTGCGCATGCGATGCCGCCCCACGCCAGCCAGGGTGTTTCCATGGCTTTAGAAGACGTCTTCTTGTTCTCAAAGATGTTGAAGAGTAACACTGATAGCCTAGAAGACGCGATGCAGGTATATGAGAAGAAGCGAAAGGCGAGGACGGAGGCGATGCTGGACAAGGCGGAGTCGAATGGATCTTTGCGCAAGTCAACTGCACCTTGGCGTCTTCGAGCTATGGAGTTGGCTATCTCGGGGGGATTGTGGGTCTCGAAGACCACAGGTATCGACAAGATGGGCTTCGGACAGAAGCCTCTAGCTTATGATGTCGAAGAGGAACAGTTTTGATGCAGAAATTGGAGACGCCGATTGCGTGTTTGAGTTCGTTATGATGGGTTGTATGGATACCTCATGTCACTGTAATAAGTTTTGACTTACTTTTGGTCGCAAATATGTTGTTTGAATACTATCATGTTGAATAAAGCCCTTAGAGTGGCATTACCCTCATAATACGATGACAGAGAACACATCATGTTGATACCTCTGAGGGAGGTAGTCCGATAACTTCTTCATGCTTTTCCTGCTGAGCCAAACCAATGCATGTAAGTTTCGCACGCCTTCTGCATTTCCTTTGTACCAGCTTCAATCGTCGCCGTAATCGGGCGACCTCTTGCTGTTTCTTGTGTCGGAACATAGTGATTATTGATTCCCTTGTTGATGTTGATCTTTGTCACTCCAGCTTTGATGCAGCGATTGTAAATCTCCTCCGTAAATGGATCCGCCCCGTGAAGGATGAGCCTAACCCGATCTCCGACAGCCTTGTTGGTATTTTCGAGCCGGTCATACTCCAGCTTGATCCCTCGCGGACCATATTCGCCATGAACGTTGCCGAAAGCGGGTGCCAGCATCTCAATCCCAGTCGCAACAAACTCTTCAGCTTGCTCTGGTGTAGTGAGAACACCTTCAAGATCTATCGTCTCAGCCACACCGTCTTCGCCGCCCTCGATTCGCCCAGGCTCTGCCTCCGTCGCGATACCGCGTTGGTGGCAGTAATCAACCAGCTCTCGAGTAAGAGCGAGGTTCTCTTCCTTCTCGTAGTGGCTCATGTCGACCATGATACTGTCAAAGCCGTCGGGGATGTCCGCAGCACGGCGAACCAGCTCTGGTGTCTGACAGTGATCGAGATGCAGTGATACGGGGACTGAGGCACTGTGGCAGAGTTCTGCTGCGGCTTTGACAAGCGCACTACCTGCGTACTCCATTGCCCACGGGAAGAGCTGCACGACTGCGGGCGAAGAGGTCGCTTCTGCTGCTCTGACGGATGCCACCACAGCTTCGAGGTTGTAGCAACAGAACCCCGCAACTGCATAGCCGCCTTCATTTGCAGCATTCACAATTTTCATCGTTCGGTTTTCGGCGAGAGGAGGTCGAACCATCTTGAAGACTGGAGTTACTTGCGAGACTCGGGGTAGCTTGATAGTGTTCAGTGAGTTATATTGGTAATAGTGGTGTCGGATCGGCGAACTTTGTTGAGTCCTTTAATTCAACTTCGGCAAGGTACTTGAGGATGTTGACAACCACTATAACGGGGGTAGAGAAACGGCTTTATGTTGAAGTTTCAACGATGAAGCACTCAGAGAAGCTAGATTCGCAACTGTTGTCGATGTGTGATGTGGATTGCGGGGGATTCTAGGATTGGGGCGGAAATGGGCCGATTTTCCGCGCGAGCCGTGGTTACGGAGTGAAATCGGAGCAGTACTCGGTTCGGGAAAAGGCCGTTGTCACCCCGAGCTACCGACCTCTACCGAATCAACGGGTTACCTGGATCCGAGGCCATCCTTCATTCGTGGTCACTCATCTGTCTGCTCTTCCTACTAGTACTTAATCTTTGGGGGCCACGTCTCCGGTCACGGATTGCAAGATCCGGTACCCCCATCAGCAATCCTTGGCTCCTCGAACTGGTCTCGACTCTACTCTTAGACATTCTAAAACACATACACGCAACATATTACCCTCCGTCGAAGACACAATGGACCCAAGCAAGCAGCCCACGGCCTTCATTGGTCTTGGGGCCATGGGGTTTGGAATGGCGACTCATCTTGTCCGCCTTGGATATCCAGTCACAGGATTCGATGTTTATGGACCGACTCTGAACAAGTTCAAGGCAGCAGGCGGCCTCACAGCGACAAGTCCAGCCGAAGCTGTCACGGGCAAGGAGTTCTGTGTTGTCATGGTTGCCACAGCGGAACAGGCGCAAGGCGTCTTGTTTGAAGGTGACGCTCCGGCCCTATCGGCCCTTCAACAAGGAGCAGTGGTGCTGCTGTGCTCGACAGTTCCATGCGCTTACGTGCAAGGTCTTCAGAAAGAGCTGGTTGCAAGAAATCGAGGTGACATTGCTCTGGTGGATTGCCCGGTGTCCGGAGGTGCTGCCAGAGCTGCGGCCGGTACTCTATCGATCATGGCAGGCGCAGAAGAGGAGGCTATCCGAAGGGGCCTTCACCTATTGCAGGCTATGTCGGATCCCGAGAAGCTTTATATCGTCAAGGGCGGCATCGGCGCTGGAAGCAATATGAAGATGTGCCATCAGGTACTCGCAGCCAACCAAATCCTCTCGTCGAGCGAAGCGTTGGGCTTTGCAACGCATCTTGGCTTGGATCTCTCAAGTACTGGCGAAAAGATCATCAAGTCAGAGGGTTGGAGCTGGATGTTTGAGAACCGGCTACCACGCATGCTGGACGCTCAATTCGGACCTCTTGCCAGTGCGGTCACGATCATTCTCAAAGACACTAGCATCATTACTTCAGAGGCGCGTCGGGCCGGATTCCCCACTCCGATGACCTCTACGGCGGAGCAGGCCTATTTCGCCGCCCTCGGTAAAGGCTACGGCCCGGACGACGATGCCAGTCTCATTCGACTATACATCGAAGGAGCGGGAAAGGTTGGACCGGTCAAGCCTACCGTCACGTCCGAAGAAGGCAAGCTAAGCCTCGTCGTCAACCTTCTCCGTGGCATTCATCTTTGCGCGGCAGCCGAGGCAATTGCTTTCGCACGCTTTGTTGGTTTGCATTTGGAGCAGGTCTTTGAGCTCTGCATTAACGCTGCCGGCGGTAGCACAATGCTTTCCGGCGAGGGCCGGCGCATTGTGGATGCCATCGCGGCCGGTAGGTCTACACACGATTGGGCTGCCTCTGGCAACGAAAGTCTGCTTCAGACAATATCAAGCGACCTCCAGGAGGCGGTCGATGAGGCACAAAGACTGAAGCTACCGCTATTCCTCGGAACGCAGGCTCTCAACTTGATCCGCAGTGTTTTGCTGACTGCCGGGCCAAAGGCGCCTGGTTTGGCACTTGGATCCGTCGTTAGTGGTTGGACCGCAAGAGGTAACCCCGCGGCGTAATGAGGGATTACGTAGATGGCCCACATCTTGGCACCATTTCCCTATCTTTGGACATGTTTTGGACGTCAGCGTTCGGTGGTTGATGCAACGAGATAGAGCCACTGGTTCCACGCGGAAAAGTGTTATCCGCATTTCCGTCTTATACACGAGTCATCTCAGAGCTGGAGAGCGACATTGCCAACACACCGTTTGACTTTGGCGAGTTTTGATTTTACTGAGCGCGATCATCAAACAACTGCACTAGCTCAATTGTAAATCAGTTATTTCCGGATTCCTGCAAAAAAACTTTCAAAATAACTTGCACTTTGGGCCTGTTGTCACTAGCCAGGTTTGAAATTTGCAATAAGTTTTTATCGAAGCAGAACTTTGCCCTCGAGTTTCAAAGCCTTGAGAAAAGTCCTCACATGTTCGGTGACCATTCGCTTGAGATGATCGTTCCACTATAAAGCTCACATACACTAGTAGATTTATATGGCTGCTGGTAGTTGACTAAAGTGCTTTACTGTGAGGCAAGGTGAGCTTTGAGAGAAGGATCTTTTGTACAATTATTAAACGACAATCCTGTATCAAACAGTATGACATGACTAGAGAAGAAAACAGCCCGACACCTCTACCAAAAAGCCCTAATGTTGAATCCAGCAACTATCGGCACCCATATTTCCAGTGTAGCACCAGTTCTCCAAACTCCAACTAACTCAATCTTCTCAAGAATGAAATGCGACTAGGCCATGAATGCCTTGGCAACCGAGCGAGGAGCCGCCGGCGCTGGGGCGGGTGGGGGAGCAGCGGCTGCAGGTGCTCCGGGAGCTGGTGCCTTGGCCGGGGCAGCGGCCGGAGCGGCACCGGCAGCGGGAATAGGCTGGGCACCGGCTGCGGGCGCAGGTTGAGCACCAGCAGCGGGCGGTTGAGCTCCATCAGCCGGGATGGCGTCCGGCTTCTCGGGCTTCTTCTCCTTCTTGCCCTTCTTCTTGCCCTTCTTCTTCTTCTTCTTCTTCTTTTTCTTGCCCTCGGCTTCGACCTCTCCTGGATTCGTGACGTCGTCGACTTCCTCCACTTCTTCGAATTCATCCATGTCGTCTTCAGGTGTTGCGTCGGGAATCAAGGCCGATGGAGGAGGCTGGGCCTGGCGGGCTATGATGCTGGTTTCATGCAGAGACATGTCACTAGCTTAATGTTAGTAAAAAGATACAGAATGGGTGTTGGAGTGATAGACTTACTGGAAAGTCTGGGCATCCTCTTTGGTCACCGAGACTGGAAGGGCGTCGATGCTGACCGCCAGGGCCGACAACGTGAGAAGGGCGTTGAGGATCTTCATCTTGAAGTATCTCGCAGTCGAAGTGAGAAGCCGAGGATGGTTGTTCAAGAGAGGCTGGAGTGTGAAGTGTGTTGGATGATGAGGAAAAAAGGACCGACTTGAGGTGGAAGCTCGTCTAGATCTTATAGAAATCCTTCCAAGATACTTCACGACGAGATAGCATACAAATTACGACTTTGTGGCGGCCACAAAGGAACAGCAACGGCACTGACGACAGAATCAGTCGTCTCAACACGCCTCTCAAAGGTTGTCGGCGGTCCAACTGGCTGAGGAACTCAATTAGAGAGCACCGGCCGCCCCACGGAGCCTCCGTGTAATGGTTCGCGAACTCAACAAAGTCCCAAGGCTCACGGTCACTTGGACCCGGCTTCTCCGTGAGGGCCGTTGCTGAGCTGGGCAATTCTCCTCGAAGACCAGTGTTCATAGGCAGCCCATAGCGTGACAGTTCACCACCTCTTTGCGAGACTGTGGACGCTGGGGCCACGGCTCTGGGTTCTACGACCACAGACATTTGGGAACTAAAGGCCGTTCGTCCAGTCTCAAAGTCACTTGACAGACCGGTTTTCTATCAAAGGTGTGCTCGCCGCTCGTCCGCGCGGTGTGAAAAGCTTCTCTTATCCGAAATATTGTAACAATTCTTCGGCGAATACGAGCACGCCGCACAGGGAGCTTTCAATCCCCATCATGAGTTGATGTACATGTCCCCGCGAGAGCCCGAGTGACGTCGTAAGCTCACGTTGGAGCCGCCCTACATGAGCTTCCATGCATAGTTCTATGCATCTCAAATCCATCTTGCAGACCAACTTCCATCAAGACGTGCACAGTCTTCCCGCTAATTAATCTCGACCGGTACCTTGCGTGCTGCCGCCGTTGAAAATGAGTTGGCTTACGTTGTGTTCAGATCAAAGTTTGCAAATTTAAATGGGATTTTCCAGCGGCAACGGTCTCTTCCGAACTGTTCGGGAGCGCCGTGGTGTCCAAGCCACCATTAAAGCCATCTCCTGAGCCAAGACATCGGGGAAGGCTTCCCGACTTGACCGCACGGTTTGACTCTTTCATTTTGGGGAATTTCAATTGATGATCAAAGAGCTTGCGACTGAGGGCCTTGAAAACCATTTTCGCGACATCTTGATTATATTTCAGTTCCTACAGGCCGTCTACCAAATCCTAGCATCCAGATGACTAAGGGCAGAGTATCGACCGAGGTGGAAGCATTACCATTGGGGTTGGTAATTGCACATTTGCGTCTAGCCCGTATGTTACTTCTTTGTTGCCAGGTTGTAGGGAGGCTGCCTCTTTCATTGGGAAAGTATGTCTGTCCATCGTTCTGACTGAGGATGTTCCGAGCTTCATAGTACCGGACAAATGCCTTTAAGAGGCCTTCTCGGGACGACTCAAGTAAAGTACTAGCCATAGAAATCTTAACTAAGTTTTAAAATCATCACAATTCTGAGCTTTTAGTGTCCTGAAAGTCGGCAGGAAGCCGAATAGGTGGATGATGCCCACTGATAGCTCACAGACATAGCCGCATGCGCTCAAGTTTCGCCATACGAGATGATCTGGATAAGAGCGAATGGGATCACAGGAACACTATGCAAGATTTTTAATGGCCTGTAAATCGAGCCATGTGTGCATGACGCTATGTGTGTTTGCAATTCATCCCCGTTTAGTCCCCCGACTTGAGTGTCTGTCCATCTGCACGGTTCGGCCCGAGAACACGAATGAATCAGGATTGCTTGCAACGTGGAGGCAGAAAACAGCCAGAGGCTCTTTTTAAGAAAATGCACGAGCGACGCTGCAATCAATCCACGTTGCCCGGATTGAAACATCACGCGATGTTGATGTTTTCATCATTTTGATTGAGTTCTAGAAGAGTGGCTTCGGAGGAATCCGCTTCGCGTGTGCTGTAGTCAAAGAGTACATGATGCATGGATCATCTGATAGACTGAGCATATGACAGAAGCGGCCGGTGAGCTTAAGTTCGGAAATGATTGCTTTACTTTCGGGTTCGGTATTATATCATCAGCAAAGCCGTTGGCATAACCTACGGTCTTTACTGGGGATCTGCGTGCCTTCTACTGATTCAAATCCATGACGTACCTTGTCGAACGGCTTTCGTGGCTTGTTGAGATTTCCTGTGCTTAACATGGGTTTCCCTTTCGAATGAGTGATGGAAATATATTGTTTCACCTTCTACGTTTGGGTGTTGTTGGAAACAGTTTGAACGTTGTGGTTGAATAAGCTTAGACATGATAGCGGCCCAAATTTTCGAAGTATAATTACTGGTAATCTAAAATTCCAATCATCAAGTGAACCATGACCCTGAAAGTTTATGGCCGGTCTCCCAGCTTCCTGTGTCGAGCTCGTACAGTTTCCCCCACGTGTGCTTGTGCTCTTCAGTCCTTGCCTAGGTGTCTCGCGACTCTACCGCCGCGAAAGATTCGACAGTGTCGGCAATACAGTCCTCCAAAGTCCTATATTCCATTCCTAAGATGTTCACCGAACGTTGGGTGTTGATAGAAAACACGTCTTCTGGCAATTCTATGCTGTTGTCAGTAGTTGTCATTATTACGGAGCCTGTGTTCTCATAGCACTTACCACCACCTGGCAAATGTTCCGATGGCAGACTGACACGGTATTTGGCAGATCTTTTGCGAATTATGCCGATGATATCACGGTTCGAAAAGTGGCCGTTGGCGACGAAGAGACGTTTGTTCCCGGCCTCGGGCTCTTCCATGGCCCGTACGTGGGCCAAAGCTATATCACGGACGTCGGCAAAAACGGGATACTAGTAGACATGAGCATACTTCTTGGTGAGTCAGGGTAATATGAGAAGCTAGACCTCGGCAGCGGGTATTTCGTTGTTCATCGATCCGTTGAAAAAGCTTCTTATGAACTGGTTTGACTCGCTAAGGGAGTCCAAATTGTTCAGACGCTGCAGCGCCGGACCGAAAACAAGAGGTGGCAAAATGACGGACAGCGTGAAGCTCGGAGACTCTTCACTCTGAAAGTTCCATGCCGTCTTCTCTGCAAATGTTTTGCTTGCTGCGGCATCTCGTCAGGGGCATATGTGCTGGCTGTAGGCTGTAGGTCGGAAATCGCTTACCTGCGTAGCCGCTAGCTGGGTTCGCCAGTGCCTCCTCAGCTGTGATGGGGCTCCAGTCTGTCTCGTCGTACGTATGACCGGGCCGGAGACCTTTTGACATATCCAACATAGAGACAAAGGACCCCGTGATCACCTAAGACGAATTAGCCGCTATTGCAACTTGCCTGAAAAAGAGTTGGTCCATACCACTCGCTTGACCGTCGGAGCCCCCGCCTTGATAGCTTGAAGAATATTGGTGGTCCCATTAATAGCTGGGTTGATCAAGTCTGCCTGGATGTTTTTGACTTCGTATGTCACGGGGCTCGCAGTGTGTATGACTGCGTCGAAAGGGGGATCAGACCGGACGGCCTCGTCAAAGGCCCCAAGTTGTCCAACGTCGGGGACGAAGACAAAGCCCAACTTATCGGGCGAATATCCAGAGAATGATTGACTGATTATATCTGCCTTGGCCTGGCTTCGCACAGTTGTGATTACTGAGTGGCTGGTCGTATGTCAGTGAGAGCTGACCTATCGCGCGAGTGCCTGGAAGAGAGTCTACCCTTGCTCCAGTAGCACCTTGATTATGTGCAAAGCTATGAAGCCGCTGCCACCGGTAAGGAGCACATGTGCCATTATTTTGTGATAGTTCGGGGTCGGTGTAAAGTTAGCTATAATAAAGATAAGTGGTGGCGTTTAAGAGCCATGACATATGAGAGGCTCATTTTATAGCAATGACTCTCAGCCACCTGATCTTTATCCATCCAGTAGACTCAGGATCGATATCTGAGGAGAAACGCGGATTTGATTATCTCCATGGTGGTTATCACCGACTACCGGGTTGCAGCGACGGCGAAACTCTTTACATCCGGATCATGGGTCCAGTCTTGGAGGGGCAAGCCCGGACAAGGTGTCCAGAATGAGGACAGGGACGGAGCTACCCGCACTCTAGCCTACCTTAACCGGCTGCTTCCGTTGCCCGGGCCTGTTTCTAATTACTGCCATCGTACAAAGACATCCGCCATCTTCACTATCTAAAGTACGTTAGCGTCTGCAACAGTAAGGTGGACAAATCTCTTGGCTGTTGAGTCAGATTGCGGCGGCCATAATGAAGATCTTGCCATCCCCCTATTTACAATCCTGACATGCTTCTGTCGTCTCTACCAATACTATGCATTGAGCTAAAAGTTTTATTTTATGTATCATGTATCAAGTTTATCTCTTGCTGGACACTTTCAGGGACTGGAAATTTGCCTCGTGGGGTTGCCATGATGAAGGTTCGACATGAGCAGAAATATTGCTTCATCAATCTAGGAGCAAGATGCAACTGGAGTTTATCCTTTCTACGTCGCGCGATTGTCCAGAAAACCCCGATATGTACGGAGTCGACACAAGCATCGTCCGCAGATGTCCCATGGTGACTAAGAGAAGTTCACTTTCTAAAAGTTATCCTAGAAGTCGACAGAAGTGCTCGGTCTGTACAGCATTATCTGGGACTTCCGGTACCGTCATCGTGCCCAGGCCTGATCCAGCGCAGTCTGCCTCGTGCGATGTGCGATGCGGCGATACTTGTTACCCTCCTACATCCAACTGCCCCCGAAGATTGCGGCGCGCTGTGGATCTTCTTAGCAAGAGACAAAGATCAGTTCGTAAGTTTGCTACTAGGATGTTTCAGGGGGCTCAACGCAATGAAGCAATACATGTACTCGTCGATGCTCATCAACTAAGGTAGCGAAAAAGCAGCTCCTACGATAGTGCTCTTGTACTTCTGAGGTGTTTCTAATGGCTAAATATGTCGGTGAGAAGGCTTGCACCGTGGGATAACAGGTGAATATATCGCTTATATAATGCTATACGGGTTGGGCATCTCCACGCCATCCATCGTGGCTCCCCTGAAAATATTTGTACAATATAGTGAACGCGGCGTGACACCTTAGAGTGGAATCTGAGCACCATTTGGTATCTAGTATTTACAAACTCAAGATGCGATCAGGGGATCCCGGGTTGACCACCCATTTCGCCACAGAGGGTAGTGGGCAATCAGCTTAGGTGCACTAAGAAGCGTCCAAAGTTAGCGGCCGTTACGGTAAGTCACAAAGGCGAAAGTGTTCTTACGCTGTAGTAGGGAAGGTCAGTCTTCCACGAGTACTTAGTGCAAGGGCCTGAGGGGGTTTCGTAGCACTGGAATAATGGAGTCATTAGTATAGGGCCCGCGTGGTAGCTCCTATAGGGGACTGGAAGCCTTGCGTACAATCCATCCACCGCTACCGGGGATTTGGCCCGTGTTCCAGGTCAACTTCTGGTTCGAGTAGCACGGGCTAGGAGCCGCTCTCGCCTCAATAGGGGCGGCGGCCACATCCACGGCGGGAGCAGCAACTGCCAACGAGGCAAAGACGAGGACTGCGTTGAGGAACTGCATGGCTGCGATAATGACCGTGATGTAATTCAATGGTTTCTGATAATGGGCTGGAGTGAAAGAGGCCCTTCAATGGGAGTAAGTATCCTCTTAAATATGTGTACTTGGACGTGAGCTGAAAAGCCCAAGGCGACCTCGGAATGCCAAGAGGAGTAGCAATCTAAGTCATCACGAAGATCGCAAAGTATAACTCATGAGCCTCATGTCCCTAGTTTCACGGGGGAAGCATACTGAATGATGTACGGAGTACGGATAGCTCCTTTTCACTGCCGCTTCTAGTCGAGGCGGTAGGGTATTCCGGGAGGCATGACTCGCACTGGTGGGGCTAGAGCGACGGGCCTCCCATGTTTTTGCGATGGTTTGGCTAAGCCTAGGCGTGTGAGAGGTCTTCAGCGCGTACTTCCCCCGCCTTTTGCTTTTTAGTAAGTGTGGCCGCAATACGGCGAGTTCATCCCGACCGAGAGGGCTAATCCTGGAAATAGGTCGAATCGTGGAAATGATCGCGGGGCGAACCAGTGTCGCTAAGCCTTGCCCTTCATCTAAGTGAATAAAGTTAAGTTGTTCGGGCTCTGTAATTGTTGTAGTAATATATTTACAGTGCCTATATTCACAACGAAAGTGTCGACAAGTGAAACAGGGGAGAAAATCGCTGCGTACGAGTCGCAACGCAGTCGCAACGCGTGGAATACCCTACTCATGGTGGGTTTGGAAGCTTCGGTCTCGGATTCCCGCAAAAAGCCGTCGCTACCGGCTCCAACTCGGATTTGGATTGTGAAGGTCCCCTCATTCTGGCATGTTATCGCTCCGCAGATCTGTATTTTCTGTTAATTACACCATAATACTATACTGTTAGCCTCTTGAGCCGTGATTTTCTAACCCTACTATCGCCGGAGTGTGGAAGTCCAATTCGACCATTGAGTCAGAAAGCCCGCAAGGACCACTTTCATGTATTCGTTTATTTCACGACTCACGGGACATCAAGTGACTCCAACGTAATGATGGAAATAGCGAGAAGGATTAGGTTTGGGTCATAGACTGTTACTCGATATTGGAAGCCATCACCTGCCATCTAGAGCTCAGAGATTGTTCTCGCAAGCATCCAGGTCTGCGCCAAGCAGAAGAGGTAGACCGCCTACAGCTACAGCTATACCAGCAGCGCAACTCACCTAGCGAAGGAAATGCTAGCTTATTTAGAGGCAAGACTAAGTACCTTGAAAGGCGAGAAATCAGCAGAACACAGTCCTTCTCATCGATCGAAAGCCCGGTGGTAGATAAGGCTGTGCATCTTTCACAATCCTGGGCAAAGACTGCCAGGACCATACTACCAATTGTATTACATTTTTAGGCGGAACAGGATTATTCGCTTGCCAGTCTCAAATACTTAGATTAGCGCCAATCTATACTTGGTTCGCGTTCCAACCTTATGAAGGTGGCGGAGAGGGCTACCGGATCATTGCTTCTCAATGATCCATCTCATCATGTACTTCTCAACCTCATGTTTCCCCCGATACGTTTGCGCCAAGCCCTCATTGCCCATGATTCCAAGCTCGTCCTCATGTCGGGCAATCTCCTTAGACCAGTAGTCGTTATCGATGGTCCAGGTTCCAAGGTCCTCAAACCCCAACTTCTTGTACAGTCCATATCCTTCAGCCGAAGCAACAAGGAAAGTCGGAATCTTCTCAGCATCGCTGATGTCGATGACTGACTGGAGCAACTTTGCTCCAATGCCCTTTCTTTGATGATGAGGGTCAACCATTATGTTCTTCACATCTGGCACCGATGTCAGCACTCTCGTCACTCTCGTCAACAACAGGTTAGCGGCCGGATCATGTCCTGGCCGGTGCTCATTCCGTAGTGCCTACAATTATGTTTCCGTCCATCTACTGCCTTTTCGTAACATTCATCCATCTCTTCCTCCCTTGGGTGGCCGAAGCGCTCCCACAGATCTTTCATGTGAGGTTTAATTGCGAAAATGGACGGCACGGTAGGTTCGGTATCCGCACTTTCCGTGGGCTTCTCCACTGTGGTTGCAGCAGGCGGCTCCATCGCATCGACGACGTGGTATCTAACGAAACCCACGACGGCATCTGTGTCGGATGCGACAACAACCAGGAAGTGGTTTTTGGGATTCTTCAAAGCGAGTCGCGTTGAAAGTGGGAGGATTTCCCTCGGATGGCGCTCGAAGAAAGCTCCATAGAAGTCGTGAAATTGCTCTAGGGCTGCATAATGTACGGCAGCGATGGCATCTGCGTCTATCGTGGTCGCTGGCCGGACGTGCATTGAAGTTTCTGGTGTCATCGAGATAAGCGCGGCACAGTCCCTGATCGAACAAGACGCAACCTGGGAGTTTCCTGTTGAGGACTCTCGGGCCTTTTAACGCGTGCTGATGTTGGGGCTTTATGTAAGGCGTGAGGCTCACGCACGACCAAAATGCTTAGTGTCGCGGAGTTTTATCGCGCCAATCACTTTACGGTTGGCCGCTCCTGCCGTTTCGAGTGCAGATTGGTCCGGAACCGGGTTGTGGAGCATACCGGGTGACTCACCGGCCGAATATCCGCACGGCCGGAGGAGTCTTCCAGACTCTAGACGGACCTTCTCAACTAAGATGGATCACGTGCGAGCTGCAGTCATGTTGCAAGTGAAATTCTCTTACTGACCAGAACAACTTCCGGCTTCAATATTCATGAGTTGTCTAAACAACATTTCGTGATGGGTTAAGAAAGGTCACAAATCGTCGGGACCCGGGACCGCTCACGTATCCCATTTAGACTTTCAACGCGGCAGTGTCCAGTCTTGCAGTTGAGACTATGTCTTGAGAACCTTGACTGTCTGTCTTCTGACTAGCTAAGGATACTTGGAACATTTGCTTGAGAACCTTGATGTAGGGCTTTGCAGACAAGGTTCGAAGCTACCTCAGGACTGCTAACGCCACATCTTTGATGCTACGTGTTTCTATCTCCGATTCTTTACAAACATACGTATATAAATAAGTGCTTCCTTCTCAAAAAAATCATTTGGCAGGTCAGGCCCATCAGCTCCATTAATTATTCTACCTCACAACCTCGAAAATTAGCCACCGCTGCTCTCAGTTGACTTTGATCGAATCCACCACTCCATCATGGATAGCCCGACAAAGAGCAAAGATGAACGGACACATGCGACTATTAGTCACACCAAAAGTCAAGAAGCAGTTGAGATGTTGTCTTCATACCTGTCACTTTCAACACAACTTGATTCCGATTCACTTCTGAGACTGCAAGAAGGCCAGGTTACTGAGCGACGAACCGCAGAACTTGAACACATCGGCGAAGGATTCTGCGCTACCATATATGATTTTGGGAGCACAGGTCAAGTCATCAAACAGGCAAAAGAGCTGAGAAAGTTTCCAGAATTACTGGTCGACTATGTCGCGCATCAGAAAGTCTATGCCGCCGGCCTCCACATGGGCGTACAAGTCTTCATCCCCCGTCCAGCTGACTTCGTCAGACCTGAACAGCTTGGCCACTGGTATAATGAACACAGGGAGTCGGGCAAGCTGCCAGATGATCGAACCCTCATCAGCAGGAACATGGCAGTCCTCGTTTCTGAGAGAATCCCAGCACTACCTATGGAGGTTCGCAGAGCCCTCATCGAAGTTTTCTGTCCTGAGGAGCAGAGAGTGGCAGCTCGTGTTATTCGAAGAAACAACAACTGCCTTGCTCGATTGTACCTGGGCCGGCGTCGACAGAACACCAGAGTCGAGGGAAGATTCGAGCTGCGTAACTTCGAAATGACCTTGGACAAGATGGAGATTCTCAACATCGATCCACTTCAATATGTGGCACCCATGGCAGAAGCATTGGCAGTCATGCACTGGGAAACCCAGCACGATGCGTTCGACGTTGAGTTCGTCCTCGCCTCATCGCCAAAACCAAGAAGTCGAACTGCGGAATGGGCATCAGTCAAAACCACCCGGGAACCAAGCAAAGGATCTGAATCTCAGCAAAAGGCTGTGAATGTATGGCTTCTAGACTTCAATCAGGTTGGAGAAATCACAATGGACAACAAAGGAGTAGGAAAGGCAGTCAGAGGGTTCTGGGACAATGATCCGTATTATCCCAGGCCAACAGTGGAGGAAGACTCGCACACTACTGAGGCAAAGCTGTGGCACAAATTCAAGCAGGTGTATCTGGCAACCTCATCAAAGATCTTGAAGGACGACGCATTGGCTACGACCTTCATCGAGGCGGTCGAACTGGAAGGGAAGAAGAGGTTGGCATGCCCTCCTGTTCTCCAGGGTCCACCGAAGGCATTGGCAGCTGTGTCTATACCACCAAGATCTTCTGGCAAGAAGAAGCAGAGGAGTTACGTTGACTTCAATGAGTAGAAGTGGCCGTTACATAATCGGCGTGTCTATTCGGGGCCCCGGAGGCAAGTCGAAGACCCGGATTAGAGTAACTTAATATCTCAAAAGAAAAAAAGGCTCTACGAGAAGTAGTCTTGAACCCCAGACCCCTACAATAATATGAATCAACATTCAACTCTTCAATGCTCAGCTTTACCACTTGACTAAATGCCCTGTCACCTGACCAGGAAGGCGCGAGGTACCTGGCCTGCCGGCGGGGCGAGATCGTGCAGTGGGGCCGGGAGACCGGATGGAATTTGCTCCACCGCCGTGAATCACCGGATGCCGAACAAAGGTTCACTGGGAGGTACACCCTCAGTCAGCCAAACAAAAGTAAATGGACAGGTATCTTTTGGAGTGAATATGTTAATATCACAAAAAAGAAAGGCTTGGCTGGAATTAACTCACCCTCGCCGCACTCAGCGCTGGATCTGCTCCCGGCGTACCTCAAAGCATCCCGTCGAAAACTGAGGCCAATGTTGAAATTCTCGCTCCCTTTTGCAATTAAGTACCCCCTCCTGGCCATCGAGGAGTCGCTTCCTCAGCTTCCGTCTCTTGCCATAATAATGACCGTCTTACAGCCCCACCATACTGCCTGCCCGATAATATTAACGTTGCATAGTCGTAATGCATTTTTGGCAGAATGCGCAATACAAGCTGTATTCCCCTTTGTTTGTCACCATTACCATCGCTAGGTGCTTCGATTGATGATCCTGTAGAATATGATGATGTCTTATATTTTCCGGTCTGGCTCAAGACCGTCATAGGCAAATAGCTACATGCCATATCTTCTCCGTCATCTTCTCTATCAATATCCTGTAGTCGTATTCGAGTGCAAGAGTCCTTTGTCACACACCAAAGGCATGCATTGAGATGAATGCTATTTGATATGATTTGACCAGTTTCTTTGTGTCTATAGAAAATTAAGCTTCAGTAGAACACGTGTAGACTCCCACAAAACTGGGGAGCTGCTCTGATGTCCTGGGACACCTGACACTACCTAATCGGACAGCCACCCCTGCGACAACAAGTACCCATGGTACTGCAGCTGATAACATTATTGGTATCTACGGAAAGGTAATTGCACCACTTCTTCTGTTACTCCATTCATTTTGATCTCTGACAACGCGAGTTCATGGTGCTTGCAGTCAACAAGTTGGCCAAGGAGGTGGTCAGACAGGCCAAATAGAGACAGATCTGCCGAGGACCACCGGCGCCTCTTTTGGTCGACAAAACTATGTCATAGGGCGAGAATTTTGGAATATATGAAGCTGCTCAATGCGTTGTTGGCAAGGGAAGTCAATTTCTGGCAAACCTCTAGCTCCACCGACTTGGCCTTCTTAGCACCCGGCAGGTTTGAAGCAGAGATCCCATTCTCATTGAAACGTACTGGCGACCGATACTAGTTGCACAGCCAAACTAGTTGGAGTATCAGCAAGGCTGGTCCTAGTAAGATTTCTTTGAGCCAAGGTGTCCACTTTCTTAGAGCAACGGCAGTCAGCTAGGTCTACGCCAAATCCTTGCCGAAAGACTATGTTAGAAGACTGTACAAGATTATCTCCAAGAATTCCTAGCACATTCGCATAAATCAGGTTGCCGTTGGCATATGAAAGACTGAATCAGTCAACAGAAGCGGCCTTTCTTGTCTGTGGTTGATAGAACTTCCCCTCTTACATCAGCGATACGGTGTAGACAGCGAAAACTAATCACTCATCTGGCAAATACGCAATCTGCACCTCGGGAGAAACGGGATGACACAGCCCATAGAAGTCGAATTCTATCCAACTTTCATGGTGAATTTGATCAAAAGCGGACAACTGTCAACGCAACATCGTCCAATGGAACACCATGCAGGCCATACGATCCCATTTCCAGCCGAACCAAGAAACCCAGTGAAACTATCAGTCAACTAGAGCGGCTGCCGTCCCCGACAAGAAACTTTATTGTAAGAAGGTTTTCATGTAACAGTCGAGGTTTTGCAGTAGTCGTATCTGCCGACCCCTCCTCTCCCACACCGACGTCGTCGCGCTAATCAATAACAGCGTAACCCCCCCAGGTTGCATCGAAATAAGGGGATCAACCCCGGTCCCGTACCCTTCTTGATGGCACACTCGACGTTACTCCAATCACACGGCGACGTCTCTTCAAAAGTTCAATCAGCATTGCTGCTTGTTGTTAAGCTTCTGAAGTGTTCCCCCGCTCGGACCAAAGCTCGGATACTCTGAATCCAAATCTGTATATGAATAGCCCGTGCCATGTCGCGGCTTCTTCGAGATGAACCTTTAATATTCCAACCGACGCGCTTCTGAACTACTATTGAACAGAAGCAAGCCGGGTTTTCTCATTATTTTCAAGAGTTCAGTCTCTTTGCGCAACTTCAAAATGTCATATAACGAATCATCCAACATGGGCCGAGACCGAGAGATGAAGATACGGATGGCCCAAGAGGCCAAAGCTGTCATCGAGTTTGAAGAGGATCCTCACCGCGCAGCACTTGAGGATAACCCGTCCGAAGCAAAAGTTGGCATCAAAACATGGATTGCAATTTTTGTAAGACCAATGCGTCTCTGCAGCTTCTCTGGCGAATCTTGGCTGACATACATAGTCTATGGCGCTATCCTTCGGTCCATGTGTCGGACTTGCGTTCCTCACGGTTGCAGCCGTCGTCGTGCAGATTGCTACAGAGCTCGGTGGGCAGGACCAGTTGGCTTGGCTTGTAGGAGCATGGTCTCTTTCGACAGCATGCTCCTTCTCCCTCGCGGGACCTCTCAGCGATGTTTTCGGCCGGAGAATGTTGGTCATTGGTGGCCAAGTCACAGTTGTCATCGGCTCCATCGCCGCGGTCGCCGCGCAGAATATAGGAACGCTCATTGCCGCCGAGACACTCATCGGCATTGGGACTGGCTTCGTTTTCGTCTCCTACGCAGGTGTCCCGGAGATGTTGCCTAACAAGTGGCGTTCTCTTGGTCTTGGTATCTTGGAATCTGGCATCGCTGTTCCCTGGTAAGTCTGAACATCTGAGCATCTGACCCTTCTTTTCCCGTGTTCCGTGTCGCATGGTTCGAACGCCTCCCCGAGTCAAGGAACTTTCTTTCTCACCCCAAATCCTCGGCACATATATCTGGGTGCCGACTCCAGGCGCCCTGCCGACCGCACCTCCTTCACAGATCTGAACGTGGGGAACCCCCGCACTTGACTAATCGATCAAAACCTGGGGTGTTCGTCTGCCGAGGAGGAGCCAAGGTAGCTGACATTTAGAATTCACAGGGGCATACTCTCCGTCCTACTCGGCAATGCGTTTTTCAAGTACGCTTCGTGGAGATGGATATTCGGCCTAAGCATCATCATTGAGGTCATTTCCATCGTCGGCACTTGGTTTTCCTACCACCCAACCCCGCGGCCTCGGGGCGACTTTGACAAGACTCGCATGCAGCAACTCAGGGATGTAGACTGGATCGGTCTGTTCCTGTTCACGGCCGGTCTGGCCATTGCTCTCATCGGCCTGACATGGGGTGGCACCCCGGCCTACCCTTGGAATAGCGCCGGCGCCATCGCACCCATCGTCATTGGTTTCGCGGTCTTAGCCGTCGGCTTTGCGTACGACTTCAAGGTTGCTGCTCATCCGATGTTTCCGTTGAAGCTCTTTGTCATGTTCCGTCGTTACTCCGTCCTCCTTGTTGTCCTCTTCGTCTCGGGTATGAACTTCAACTCCATGTCAGCCCTCCTACCTCAAGGATTCCTCTACATGTTTACGACGGATGGTATTGAGATCGGTGCGCTATCACTGCCCAACACCTTGATGATTGGCTTCACTGGTGTCCTTGCACCCCTCATCGCCCACAAAGTTGGCTACATCAAGTGGCAGCTTGTCATCGGCATGGCATTCCAGGCACTGTTCATTGGCGCTAGTGCTGCGACTGTATACCCGAACCACAAGTTTGCATATGCTTTCGTCCCTGCTTTCGGTGTACCCATGTTTGTCTGGGTCACTATATTGTCTTACGCTGTTGCTAGTCTTCACGTTCCGCACTCAAACCTGGGAGTGGCAATGGGCTTGTTGGGTACCTTCAGATCAGGAGGTGGCGCCGTCGGCAACGCCATCTTCAACACAATCTTTCAAGAAAAGTTCCGCGAATTCGCTGGCGAAGAAATCGCTAATGCGGCCATTAGCAACGGGTTGAATCCATCTGACCTTGGTATCATCATTCCTGCGGCAATCGAGTTTAACTTGGGCAACCCTCTAGCATTGGTCAATGTTCCGGGCATCACTCCAGAGATTCAAGATGCTCTGAGAGAGGCCGTACGAGAGGGCGCAGGCCATGCCTTGAAGATCGTCTTCTACATTACGATTCCCTTCAGCGTCATTGCCTTGATCTGCTCTTTGTTTATCGAAGACCCCACGGCATACATGACGAACCACATCCAGTCTGCTATGGGTCAAGAGATGGCCCAAAATCGCGGCAAGCGGGCTACCACTCCTGAAGAGGGCCAGGCAATCGAGTTTGAAACTATGAGAACGGTTAAATCTGAACAGATTGTGGTGAAGGACTAAGAACTCGCCTAAAAGTCAAGACGCCCTGGATCTAGGACACTGATTTCATTTGCGTTCAGGTCCTATAAGACATGGGGGGAGACTTAATGTTTAGAATTAAGATATAGGTTGGCATGTATTTTATATGCATGAGCAAATACACTGTATATGACTTTCACATGATAAAAAGCCTGGACATATGAATATTGACACATAGCTGGCATGTTGAGGCAATTCTCGCTCCGAATCAGACTGCCGGCGTGTGGGGCCGCGGATGCCGGCCGCTGGTCGGCGGTCGTGACCCCGCTCGGAGGTCATCTACCGATCGGTTCGCGCCTCAGCCTATTTTCATGGGAGTTCTATGTCATAGCAGGAGTAGGTGTGCTAGTAGATAGAAGCTCGCTCCTACTACTCATTCTGGTTTGGGAACCCTCAACTGACAGTATATGTGCACATGTACCGCTGGAGCGAGAAGAGACACCGCATTCGAAGCTGTCTTTATTATCTTAAGCATGATCTAAGGATCACAAGTCACCACTTCCAGCAACAACAAGCAATACCTGGTAAACTGATTCAAAGTTTTCATCGATGGGAAAGGAAGAGCGTATGTCAAAAGAGCCGTAAAATACTCGGCTCAAATTCATCATCTACGTGTCCAGCGAATCCTAACGCCTGGCCCTCAATATTCACATGGGCCGTCTAGCCCTCTCGACCCGCTGGCACTGAATGGTATATAAAAGGAAGAGAACGCTCTTATGCCCAAGTCCCCACCACGCCCATTCCATCGTATTGCGGTTTCATTCCATCGTTCTGTTTTCATCTTCTTCCATGGTCGTCAGGGAGTTGAGCTGGGCTAGTAGGTGATGTGTGGTGTCCCGAGTCCAATTCGTACCGGGCCTCGGTGGGAGCTTCGTAGATTGGATTTGCGTTGGCTTCGGCGGCGTATGAGTGCGGCTGTGTATGGCCAAGAACCTTCGACTCTTGTCCGCCGTAGTAATCGTTTGCTGGCGAAGGCGAAGAAAGCGTCGAGGCATTGATCGTACCCGGGCTGTGTTTTCCACCAACCGTGCTGCCATCGTGGCCAAGCTCGTGGTGATGTTCGCTCGGCTCGACGACTGCCTCCTTCTTGGCCTTTCTGCGACGCCACCAGAAGAAGAAGCCAGCACCTAGGAGCGCGATGGCCCCGAGGGAAACGCCCACACCGATGCCGGCGGCGGCGCCCGACGATAGGCCTCCTGAGGACGATCCTGCTCCCGCGGTGGAGCTTGCGGTGGTGGATCCGCTGGTAGCTGTAGGAGTGACGGCGCCCGATCCTGTGCCGGTTGCTGTGGCTGTTGCTGAACCAGTGCTAACAGGCGTAGTCTGAGCTTTTAGGTTAGACTAGAAGTCCGTAACTTGGTTGACAATAAAGAGAGACTTACGCCTGCTGAATAAATGGTGGAGTAGGCACCATCGTTGACAAATTTTGAACTTGTCATAATCCAGTGCTGAGCAGGTTGACGAGCCGACACATTATCGGAGCCCTCAATTTCGCTCGACATGAAGAGATTGGATCCTGGGTGAACATCGAGCACATAGCCTGTGCCATTTGCGACATTGGTGAACTTGTATGTGCCCGGTTCGCTTGCCCATTCAGTGACGTCCCATTGCTGAGTCTCATCCGACTCCGTTTTTCTCAAGCACCCTCTTGTGCCACTAGGATGCACCTCCGCCGAGCTCCAGCACACGGAAAGCTGTTGGCTCACGCCGGCCGAGCTCAGTCTCATGAGATACCGGCCGGTGTGATTTGGCACTGGCTGAAATTGCCACACCGCATCTGTCTTGCCGAAGACCCTGAGGCCATTGTTGGTATCTTGCAGGTTGTTGTTAAGTGGTGTTGAGACGTTCGCGACACGGCCCTCTGAAATGGCGTACCAAACGTTCGAGTCCAGCGTCACGGCCGACATTGTCGCTGTCCCGTTCTCGACTCTGTAAGCAGATGCTACAGTGGCTCGATTGTCGTTGTCGACTGGCTGTTGCTCTATCCGCGTATATGCAGTGTTCGCAAGACGGCGAGTGAGGTTCCAAACGTCAAAATCAACCCAATATCCGAACGATCACTCATCAAGAAATACAATCCCCAGGAGACGAAAGATGGAAGGGAGAAAGAGGATTCAAAAGGGCAGAAACTCATACAGACATACAGGGGGCCCCGGACGAGGTGCCGACCCCATTATTAAGAGGCATCAGCATTTGAGGCAGCAGGGGGTCAGATTGACTACACCATCTCAGGCGGAGAGGAGCGGGAGAGAAACGCCAGTGAACGGGTGGACTGGGGATTGGCTTATTTGACACTCCGCCCCTTGACGCCACGAACCAATTCATGAAGGATCATCGTCTCTTGAGGTGGCTCTGCAGCGGTAAATTAGGTTCCTACTGGCCGACGAATGGTTGGGTACAACGCTGCCGGTGCATCTGCGAAACAATGTGGCCAGGTCCAGGAAGATCGAGACTGGCGACATAAGCACACCAAAAGCTCACACCAAAGTCCCCTCAGGACGGTGAGACAGCATAAGATGGGCGTGACTTTCAGGCTTCCATAGTGGTCGATGGTCCTCTCCCTGTTTCGCGGAAATCCTGCAGGCCCACTCGCGCCGGCATTTGCTTGGCAAACCTGGGCGTCATCCTGTATACTAAAAGAAGAAAAGATGGACGCGGTTCTCGTGATAACCGCGACTTAGAAAGGGAAAGAAATTTCACCAAGAGGCGCCAAGTTTACGTCGAAGCTCCACGGCGTCAAAGCCAACTCTAAATTCCGATAACCTTAAGAAGAGTCAGCCACGGCCGTTAATGACAAGAAGTGAAACAAAACACAGAGAAGCCAGAAAACCAAAGGTGGGCGATAGCCGCCACTCGAAATTTAGCAGCGGGAGCTCGAGAAACCGAGCCAAACCGCTTGTGGGCGCAATTATAAGATGTAAGCGCTAGCAACTCAGCCCTGTCTATTTGGGGGCGCGAAATGGTCGTCAAGGCAAACCTGGCACCAGGGAAATCCCAGCTGGGTCGTCATCCTTCACACCCGGCCTTGATTGGATAAGATGGGCGATAACCGCGCCCGTCCGCAGTCGGAACTTGGACGCTGATCAGTCTGCTCGGATGCCAAAGTCCGACGGGCCTTCAAAGTTCAAAGAATTGAGGACGTTGTGGGCACGGGAATACCCCCTCGGGATCCCGTCGGGGTCAATCACGTAAATTGTGCTGCACCCTCGAGGCTACGAGGAAAAAGACCAGAAGGCCTATTCCTTACTAACATGTTTATCCGTAAGGCCCAGGTTCTCTGCCAGGGCCCAGGGGTAGGTACCCAACAGCCACATGCATGCTCGTGCATTTTGGTTGCCGAGGGCACAGCAATATCCCGCAGGCCTGCCAAGCTCGTGCGCCATCTTACTGGGTTCTGCCCGCACGTTGAGGACCACGCGAGAGTTGAGCTTATTGCCGCCCCAGCGAGCTCCATGAACTTGTGCCGGATCGTGCTGAGCTTCAAAGAAAAAAATCAGCAGCATCTCATCATTAATTGTGTCTGCTAATGATCATCCTTCCTTGTGTCCACCTCACTTTCGCGCGAGAGGTCAACGAATGTCGACGGCTCATAACTCCAACCTTTCTTATCTTCTGTATCTACCAAGTTCCGTTCGACTACCTTTTCGAGTACTATTGCCATGTCAGCTCCTCATATGACTTCCCGTCATTGCCGCTTATTCCCGGGATTGATCCCGCTCCCACTATCACGAAGCGTTGCGTAGACAGCTGCGAAGGAGAGGCAAATGGACTGCGTACCTTTGTCGGCCCAGGGTTTGTGTAAAGCGTGGATTAGGGAAGAAAAGGTATTGGTTGCTCAACGGCATTGGCCTGCTCGCATTCGTCAGATCCGACGAAGGAAGGCTTTCGCGACTGATCGGCTCCTCCTGGAGTGGCCAGGCGGAATCGGACAGACACGGCTTCCAAACAAAAAGGGTTCTAGAGTCCAAGACAGTAGATTTTGGCCCCTGGAGATTGGTGTGTGTTCTTGCCAGCGTCCTTCCTCTTCAAGAAAATTAAACTCTACTTTTGCAATGAAAGGCGGATTCAAATGAAGCTGTCTAGCTCGGTCTACCTCGCTTTTGCCCCATTTTTTCAACTTCGCTTGCGGTCTGGAGGAGTCCAGGATTTGCAGAATCATTGACTTGGCATCAGCTTCAGCGGATGCTCTTCCGGCTGACTGCATTGCTCATGTCCACTGTGGTCATGGAACTTGACTTCACAATAGCGCGCGGGCTCTCAACGCAGTAGGTAGATTTGTCATCATCGCGAGCCTGATGTCATTCTCTTTGGCGCGGTTTTATCGTGCAGGTGGGCGAGCTCTTAAGTTAAATTCTATGGCCTCAACCGTTTTTGAAGTTTGGAAAACACATTGACCACAGCAAGATTCTCAGAGGCAATCATCCCTTCAATCACTGTAGCTTCCTTTCAATCTGGCTTGAGCAGATTGTCGGCGCTTTCGCAGTGCTTTTGTCTTCTTTGTCCTTTCTGAGATATCCTTTAATCTTGTGAACAAGCCTTGGCGCTTGGAGGGTGTGGCATCAACCCGTGGAGCTGAGCTCACCAGATTGACCCATTTCAATGAGGTTCATTAGGCAAATCCAGTCTCTCTCATATCCGCCAATAGCCCTTTCAGATCATTGAAAACGTGCATTTGATTGAAGTAGGTGCGGAAGTAGGTGCGCAGGATCTCCACGTACTCTCGTCAATCCACTTATACACTGGATGAGACGGATTCTTCGTGCTGAAGTAAAAGTCCCAGTCAATCTCAGATCGCACGCTTTCATTAGGTAAAAAACGAAAATAGGGAATCTTAGAAAACCTTAAAAAATCTTTGGACCGGCTGCACCAGTAGATCTGAAAAAACAACTTGTCACCCCTATTTCAGTCATCATCCACATCACTGGTACATATCGCTGCATACAGGCTTGATCGGGCAGAAGTAATGTCTAAGGCTACAGAAG